TTATACTCTTTTCCAAAATTATCGTGTCCATGGTGGAACATCACTGCTGCTTTTGCCAGGTTACTGTGAGTCTTCTTGCTTTGGTTCATCCACTGTAGTAAACCTGCACAATTGAGAATTTTGTTTCATTTTTCACTTTTCCAGAGTTATAAGAAAATTTGGAAGCCATTTGAGGTCTTTTTATAATCCTCCAAGTCTGTGTTTCCTAGGTAACATTTTAGTGCCTTATTTTATTCTTACATACATACATGGCTACACCAATCATTGACTAATTTTAGTCTTTAACTTGAGTTGACTATAATAGTAATTTTTCCCAATAAAAGCAGTATTAAACGAGAGTTGATTACCCGTATTCTACATTCTGACTTGGGTTGTTTTTTTTAAAAAAACACCTTATTGAATGTTTAAAAATTGGAGTGAAGCATTTAGAAGATCTTGGTTGTAAGGCTTTGTTTATTCAAATCCTCTGTGACTTGTATTAACCCAAGACTACCAGTGAATTTATAAGGAAAGTAAATTTAATTAAAATGTCAGTTTCCTAAATGGAATTATTTGTTTTAGACTGTGAAGGATTATTTTAGTTAGCTTTTTAGGAAACACTGGGGGGCACTATTATGAAATTCCCATAGCAAGAAAAGAGATGATTAATTTGACAGAACTGTTTGTGGGTTTTGAATAAAAATGCCACATCCCATAGACGTACTCATTATGTGTCTTGTAATGATGCCAGTTACCAGGAATTAGCCTCCTGGAACTCCCTTTGGGTACTGTGATATTTCAAGTTGAACTGGCCAAAATGGTTATAGGGAAGGCCACATGAAAAATGAGCCTTAATTGAATCCAAGAGTGAGACACTCTTCAATATCACAACAGAATGCTGCCTGTGAGAGCCAGAGTGGCCCTGTCCCCTCCTGTAGGAGCTCATGCTCCCCTGGAAAAGTAACAAATGCTCCATTCGTAGATGACACAGAGAGTGTCAGCCACAAGGGGCCTGGTGCCATCACCTGACCTACCTTGCACTGAGAGGTGGGCCTGGATGCAGGATTTCTGAAAGTTCAGGAGCCAATCAACTAGAATTAGAGTTTTATCATGTATAGGTAGTTTCTGGAATTGTTACTTCTTGCTATTCTATTAGTTTTAGAAGATATCTCTGGATTTTTCCAAGTCTATTAAATAGTTTAAACTTGCTAACACCTTTTTTTCATTATCTGCATGTTAATAAGTTATTCAAACCTCTTTGGTCCTCAGTTATCTTCCCTAATATGAAAAGACCAAACTGGCATAAAGAACTTAAATTTTCTTCTCTGTAGATACTTACTATATCCTCCCATTATGTCCTGGTTGATGAAGTGATTTTCTTTTTACTGTGGTAAAATGTAAGAAACATAAAGTTTACAGTTGAAGCCATTTTTAAGTGCACAGCTCATTGGTGTTACGTACACTCACTGTTGTGATAGAGATTTTACAGTGAAGGAAGCTAAGAGATATGTAAGAATTCAAACAAAACTTTGGTTGGAAGCTGTGCTAGGTGACAAAATATGCATGTGTAGGAGATATTTGTGTGGCTGGAAAATTTTTTGATGATATTCTGTCTTCCTAGTGACTATAGAAAAGGATAATTGTGTGTCATACATGCTGTATTGACAGTTTGTACATGCATAAGGTTACACATTGCAAAATTCATCCTGAGCATATTCATAGGTTCAATAGTCATGCTTCAGAGTATTTCCAAGCAGCCCATGGGTCCGTTGCATATACTTCTGACTTTGCTGTAGCACAGGCCTAAGGCTGCTGTCAGGATGCAAGCCCAGCAAGCTCCCCAGCACTGCGACTCAAGGCTGTTTGGTTTTTCACATTGTCCCAAAACAGTGCATCTCCATTTGTAATGAAAACTTTTTGGTGTTGCGATCAAAAATACCCTGTAAAGAATGTTAACTGTAAAAATAATGTGGTTTAATAAAATGGTGATTTTTATATAGAAAATGGAAGTATAGAGTACATTACTTAGCAGAACATTAATAAGAGGAATAAAAAATTTAACAGTCCTCCAATCCTTGACATGGACTAGTTCATCCTTGCTTAATGAAAAACAAGAAAACTCAGCCAGTGAAACAACTTTAGCCACTTCTTTAGCCTCAGTGCAAAATCTTGTGAAAAATAAAAAATTAGTGATAGTGAAGAGACAGTTACCTTGTGGTATTAATATATTTATTGGAAACATGTGACTGTTCACAGAATATGAATTGAATAGAAGCCCAGGGCTGTCAAACTTTTTCATGAAGCATTTCCTTTGAACTCAGCTTACCACAAGTGAGGACGAATTTGAGAAATTTAGCAAGACATCCCCACCCCCTGCCAACACACGCACACACAATCTGGAGCCATCAAGAGTGGTCACATTAACTTCTTCTTTTCCCAGGAGTTACCGAAGGTTCCCCTAGAGGAGCTGAAGATACACCTACAGGGGAAGGCAGAAAGGGTTAAGCTTCTCCCTCTATGGTTTTGGGAGTATATGCATTTAAGGAAGGGCAGTGAGCATAAGAGTTTAAAATGGCTAAGGATATTCCCCTTGTCTTAAGAGAAACCTGGCTTCTCTTCAAGGATACAATCTCCTACAGGCTTTTGTATTAGTTTTCTTTTGCAGCATAACAAATTACCATAAATTTAGCAGTTCAAAACAACATGTGTTCAATCATCTTACTATATCCATGGGTCCAGAGACTCCAAGTTGGTATTTCATAGAACCTCACAAAGCCACAATCAAGGTCTCAATTGAGATTCCATTTCATTCTAGAGCTTATATCCTCTTACAAGCTCAAATAGCTTTTGGAAGAATTCAGTTCCTTATAGTTGTAGATCTGCAGTCTCCATTTTATTGTGAGCCACCAGCTGGGGGCACTCTCAGCTCCTAGGAGCCTTCTTGCAGGTCCTTGCCATGTGGTCTCCTCACATGGCCTCATGCAGTCCCTCTCACATGGCCACTTACTTCTTCAGGGCCAGGAGGAGAATCTCTTTGACCTCTAGACCTTTTGTAAGGGCTCAACTAATTAGGTCAGGCCTATCCAGGACACTGTCTCTTTTGATTAATCCAATTCCATCTTGTCAGGGTTCTTAACTACATCTGCAAAGTCCCTTCACCTTTGCCTTATAAGGAGAAGATCACATCATATTCACAGGACCTGCCTACACTCAAGGGACAGGGATTTTACTAGACATGGGTCACTAGGGTCATTTTAGAATTCTGCCTACCACACCTGTTTATTTTCTCACTGTGTTTCTCAGAGTCATTAGGTGGAGGCAAGAGCCTCTTTGCTCTTCATAGCTGCTTCCGGATCATTCTGCTCCTGCCTCTCATGAAAAATCACAAGAATAATGAATATACATGTAATAAAACACTGAGACTCTGGGGCCTGTGCCATTTGGTATTAGCATTGTCTCTCCTGTTTTATTGTCTTGTGCTTCTATACCCCTGGGGCTTCCTGTTCCTTCACAGAAGATGTTGGAACTTGACTGTCAGCCTTCCATCTTGCTGTGGGCCAGCCGTTACTCTGGATGGCTTTAGTTTCCATGCCTACCACATGGAGATGAGTCAGGAGTTGGGAGGGAGGAAAACATAGCAAGGAGTATGTGTATCGGTGCTTTGATTCTTTAAGTGATATTTAGTGATATCAGAAAGACTATAGAAACCTATTTTACTATTTATTTTATATTTCATATAGTTACTTCTTTTTTTTTTTGTTCCTTTAGATCAGTAATTGTTGTTTTGCTTGATGCCAGCCTACCTCATTTGTAGTGAGAGGTAATAGGCAGTGATCAGGGGTCACGTCTGGGGTGGAATGTCAGACCCTGAGCAGCTCACCTTTGGGCCCTGGGAGTGGTGCCGACTATTTTTAGCGTGAGGAGTGCGGAGACGCTGGAAGAAGGGAGCATGCATGCCTCAGCTCTGACAGGTCAGCGTCCGAGCTCAGATAGCCAGAGCCGTCCGTTTACTTTAACAAAGGCGAATCATTTCCCTTAATGGTGTTTTGGTTGCCAAGTACTGATCACACTCATCAACAGTTGTGACTCTGCACGAACCCTTTCTGTGCCACTTCTCCCTTTGTGAGCTGAGGGGGGAAAAGAGGGTTTGAGTGCTGCCTGGCCGTCTGTCCAACGCTGTGCCATTAGGTACATGCAGATAAAAAATTAAATGTGAACTAAATTCAAAGAGAGAGAGAAAAAAATTCAGGTCTCACTCATACTGGTCATATTTCAAGTGCTCACCAGTCACACGTGGCTGGCGGCTGCCATATTGGACAGCAGAGATGTCGAGCATACTCACTGCTGCATGATGTCCTGCGGAGTGGTGCTGATTCAGAGTGGTTTCTGTCTGGCCCTAAACCTCAGGGGAATATAGGAAACTTCAAGAAAGGAGGGGAGAAGATGAAAATATGGGGACTGTGTCCCTGGAGAAAACCTTTGCTGCTTAAACAGTGTTTAATATTGCTTTTAACATGCTGAAACCCACAACCTGTGATAATGCAATTTGGAATACATTGATAAAATATCACCAAGATTTCTCTGAATTAACCACTTAACTCATATTTCATCTTTAAAATAAAATGAGAAAACCTTTACAAAAATGGCATTATAATCATGAAGATAAATATCTGAAATCGAACAGTGTTAAAGGGAATGATTTTACCAGATTGTGAGTACTTAATGAAGTATGTTTAACAGCTTCTCCACCTATTAGATTGCTAACTTTTTGTTTTTATGAAGCCTCAAGAAAATCTGTTCGATCTTAATGTTTATTGTCATTCATATATTCATCATAGTTTTCTTCACTTATTTCTAATATAGTATTATCATATAAACAATGGGTTTAATTATCTATTTTATAATTAGATTTATCTATTTTAAATATTGTACAATAATATGATACTTTGTAATAAAATATAATCTTTGAGAATAAACGTAGCATTTGTCTTTCTCATCTTTCTTTTTATTTATCTCATTAGCTAAGAAACCTTTCCAGCTTGGACCTACGTCATATCACTGAACTGGATAATGAAACTGTGATGGAAATTGTCAAGAGGTGCAAAAATCTTAGCTCTCTCAATCTCTGTCTGAACTGGATCATAAATGACAGGTATACATTGTAACTTCTTAAAAACACTTTTCCAGAGGAAAACATGTACCAAATACTAATTATCATTATAATAAGGCATGTCACCTTTAAGGAAATTGAATGTAGCCATGCCTTTTCAAATAGATATGTTTAAGCTTTGAAAACCGTTGAAACTTTTAATCCATCCATTGCTTTTATTTGCACCAAGGTTTTTATGTATAGATTCACGTGTTTGCCTAAACAATGTTAGCAACAGCAGTTTGTTGAAATTTTCTTTGTCACCAATACAAGATATATTGTCTATTTTTCACTTTAGTATTTTTATAACTTTTGTGATTAATTTTACTTTTGTTTATCGAGGAGAATGTGAGACATCATTTCAAACATTATATATTGAGATCCTTTCTCAAGGAGGATTTTTATTCTCTGTACAAATATAATTTATTTTGAAAATGGAAGCCACATGATGGACAGCTTAATATATAGTGTAAAAATGTGTAAAATGGGTAGTTTTTTCTTATAAACAGTGATAAATCCATTTTTCTTTGAAATAGTGCATGAAACTTAAAAAATGCAAAAACTCTTGAAAGTAGACATTTTCAATAAGAAAAACAACTTCAGAGTAGCACTATTCTACTCTAATACTACTGGTTAACTTAGTGGGTTTGTAAATACAGGCATGAGACAAGATTCTTGCCCATTAACTTTTCAAGAGTAAGTTATTTTTTTTTAAAGATAAGCCACCAAAAATATTTTGCTGTCAAAAGGAAAAACACTATTTCAGATTATAACCTATTCAGATTTAAATGCTTTTCCACAAATAAGAGCGATGTTTTATTATGCTTGTGTCAGATAATTTAAATTCAAGATATTTTCACTCTCCACTTTTAATTTCCTTTTATATTTAAAAATTAAAATCACATTTTTCCCAGTTAGTTTCCCCAGTTTTAATAAAGATCAGACTCTTTTAGGTTTTAATGGCATTTTCTTAAATTACCTGCATTACACTTTAAATTGTGTGGTAGACTGACTTGGTTGTTTTTTAGTAAAATTTTTCTTAAAAAATTTTGTAATGAAGAGTGGACACATTGTCATCATTTATAAAAGGTATTTACAGGTTTTGAGTAGTTGTTGCTATATAAAGTACATTGAAATCTAGAAAAAGTTGATAAAAACATTAAAAGTGAAATTCTTTATAATCATCATTCTCCTACAGTTAATTATATGACAACTTAAAAAAGTCTTTTAAGTGTTTTTCATAACAACTAATAAAGTACATAAGCACCCTGTGGTATTTAGTGTTAGCTTAACATGGAGATAAACTGCCTTTAGTAATGCATCGAATTAAGAGGAAAAAATGTTTCTGCAAAGAAATGATTATAGAAATGATTGCCTTTACTTCCACAACAATTTTCTGGGTACCTCGCATGTGCAGAAGAGCCAGGAATTAGAGAATACAAAGGTAATAAATAAGATGCAGTCCACATAAGATTATAAGGATTATTTCCTAAGTAAGCATTTTGCTTAAGTTTATGTCATTTAAACAAAGATACTCAGGGATTTCTAATCTTACAGCTCTTCAGATGCTTATTTAGCCGAACTGGGTATTTACAAATGAGAAAGTGGGCAGCCTTGACTTTGCCTTTTCTCCCCTTTGTTAGGCTTCATCTACTCAAACCTCTTGCTATTTCAGACATTTTTTTCCTACTTAACTATAATGGTTATTTGGTATTTGATCCTAAATATGTGTACTGTAGAGATTTATTTGCAAGGAATGAAAGTGTATTTTTATGTTTTAATGGAAAAGTTTGGATTAATTGAGAAAACATGCATTTTAATGAGGTTGAGCAGTAGAGTTTTAAAGATCAGACTCTTTTAGGTTTTAATTACACTACTTGCACTTATCCTGTGTACTGTAATAGAAGTTTCAAACATTAAACCCCACTTTGCAGTATCATCTAAATTACTCATCTCATTGTTCTTGCCATAGTCTATCACTAAGCTAAGTAATATTTGTAATTATATTGGTATAAATCTGGGACTTCCCGTCAGACTTAATTATAATTTCAGCACTTAGCCAAGATGGGTTAGTAACCTTTCATATAGAGGGCACTGGAATGCACTAATGCATTCAGCCTATCAATTAGCGTGTGTTTTACATTTGTTCATTATTATTATCCTCTAGTAAATCAGGAGGCATTTATTAACCCCCTACTAAATACTGGGTACTGTGTCTCAGACTGGGGAACCCTGAGTCCCTGCTGCTCTCAAAGGTTGCTCTCTTTAGGTGGCACAGGACTTCGTGAGTGTGATGATAGTGAGTCTTGTAAGGATAGAAGGGGGGAAAGTAACCTTTATGACCCAGGTAATTGATAGGCACTTTACACATGTTCTCTTTTACTCCTTTCAACATCTTTTGTTCAGTGGAAGGTCATACTTTTCCAATTAAATTTAGACCATTTCTTTGACTTTTCTTTGGCTTTTCTGATGGATACATTTTTCCATCATTGATGCAGTAAAAACTGGGTGAGGACAAACAAGAAAAAGCAAATGGCTAATGAGTCAATTTTCTGTTTCATAGCTGGCATTCACACACTGTTGACATTTGTATGAAAAATTCTTAGCTTTTTAAAGACTAATCTCATTACTTTCTTCCATAATAAAAGTATAATAGAAGCTTTAGATATTGTAGCACATGTGAAAAGGATCTGTTTTTAATGCTGCCAGCTTTAATGAAGGATCCCTTACATGAAGATGAACTTTGATACTCAGATCTGTAGATACAAGATTTACCCTGGATTTTGAAAGTTCTTATCTATGAACTTTTCTTTCGAAGTTCTGAATTTTAAAATATGTAGTAATATGTAGTCCTTTACTGTTGTGCTTATGGTGCCTTATAGCATTTTGTGGTTCTTGAATTGCTCTGTGTGACTAAGACATGCTGTTCTTTATCTTTGTTTTTTTAAAAGCACTTTTTGTGTTTAGAAAGTTAAACAGCATGATATTTTCTTGTATTCAGAAGGATGGTCTAGTAGTCATTTGACATTTACCATTGCTTTTGAATACAAATAAAATCCAGGTGGTTTATAAAAAGAGGACACTGACTATTTCTATCAGTGATTTAAATTAAACATTGGGTTGTTATGTCTCCTCCATCTCTCAGATTCTAAGTTTATTGAAATATTTATTTCTATTTGATATAAATCTTATGTTATCTCACATCCAATTTGGTCTTCATTGTTTTTGTATGTTTGCCACAGAGTCCAAAAGTAGCATGCTTTGGATGTCAAAAACTGATAATGTAAAAAACTGGATGGTTCTGGGCATCTTTATAGTTATCTGCTTACAATGCATCTTTTGTTCTTTTTTGGTGAAAGAATGAAATGAAATCTACTTGATTTTAATAGATCTTTACAAAAACTATTAAAAAAATTTTTTTTGAGAGGGCATCTCTCATATTTATTGATCAAATGGTTGTTAACAACAATAAAATTCTGTATAGGGGGGTGAATGCTCAATGCACAGTCATTAATCCATCTCAAGCCTAGTTCTCTTCAGTCTCCAATCTTCTGAAGCATAA